GAGGAGGCTGGGGGGGAGGTAGGAGAGGAGGCTGGGGAGGAGGCTGGGGAGGAGGCTGGAGAGGAGGCTGGGGAGGAGGCTGGGGAGGAGGCTGGGGAGGAGGCTGGCCAGCGACCCTCTGCTCACTGGAGTCTCTGATGTCTGAGGCTCTGAGCTCGCTTGCAAACCACCCTACTGCACCGGTGCATTGGCCACTGACACTGTTTGGGGAGTGTCTCCTGGGGCTTGAAGAGAAAGCAGTGTAGCTGGGGCCACAGCTAAGCAGAAAGTAACATAAGCTTCTGGGAACATGGCCTGCGGCCACCCTACTCCTCCAGTCACTCAGGCAGGAAAGTCACTTTCAGGTCTGTGGGCAGCTACAGTTTTGGGACAGTCACCAGCCACCCTTGGAATACAGTCATACAGAGAGGTCTCCAGCCCTTAAAGTGTGCCTGGCGTGAGGGAAGCTCTGAATGTTTTGGTTTAATTTTAATATTTAGATTAAACAAACAAGCAAAAACCTGGCACTTGTTTCAGTTACAGAATTGAGAACCTTTTTGTGATTTCAAAAAACCCAAGTAGCGGGAAGTACATTTCAATGGTAAATTTTATAAAAACCAAACACTGAGCAGGAGTTGCCAAGGCCAAGGTAACATCTGAAGGGAGATGTGTTTTAAGTGACAAACAGATACCGGCTTTCAGGGGCATAGCATGAAAAAGGCGAAGACAGCTCAGCAATGTTTATGTTGGTCAAATTTTGAAAGTGTTTGAATGCTATTTATAGCCTCTGATACTGACTTGAACAAAATATAATGTAAACATTTATTTTATCTGCTTTCTGTCTCTATTACTTTTCAGTGTGGCACTTAGAAAACAGGGAATGTCTTGGCCACTCACCATCTGTTCATTCACCAAGTGTTTATTGAACACCTACTATGTGCCAAGTATTAAATCAGCAAAAATAACTACAAAACTCAGAAAAGACTCTTATAAATTCATTGGGAGTGATCCCACTGAAATGGAATACTCCTTAAGACACATACTAAAACCACTGCTGTTTATTTCCCAGTTTTCGAAGTTAAAACTCCTAGGCAGGGGGCTGGGGAGATAGCTCAGTTCTCTAAGCACCTGCCTGGCATGCACAAGGACCTGGGTTCAGTCCCTAGTACTGCATCCCATGCCAGCCCTAGAACCCTGGGTGCGCCGTGTGGGCCCCAAAACTAGATGTACTGGTGCATGCCTGTAATCCCTGTGCTGGGGAGGCTGAGACATGAGGAACACTGAGTCCCAGTTGCGTAGGGAGACTGTGTACCAAATAAATAATTAAAAGATTTTTTAAAATTTGAAAGAAATCTCCTAGTCTACTAACTTATAGGCACTTTTAGTTTTCTAAAACATGTATCTTAGGCTCTGCCTTTCCCACGGGTGCTCCATGGGCTGCACCCCCAAACAGCAGCCACGTGGGATTTTCACAGCTACTAGTTCTCCTACTGGAGAGGTCCCATTTCACTGACTTTTTTTAGGGGATGCTACTAGGTGTCCACACGATCCTGCTCTGTCACAACTGATAGGCAGGTTTAGCCCAAACACCGTACAACCTCTTTCATGGCATTTTATAAATAGCCCTGGTAATGAAGGAAACGGTGTTATTCTAGCAGGAGGGACCAGTCCTGCGTGAAGCCAAATGAGAGAGGAAAATCAGGACAAATCCAAAGATATGTCAGTCCTCTCTGAGGGCAGGAACTTACGGGACCACAAAAAATTTTGATTACTTTAAGGATGGATTATTGAAAATAATCAATACTATCGATCTCTAATTTACTGTGGCTGTCTGGGGATGGCATCCAGACCCTTCTGAGCTGGATCTGTAAGGACCGACCCTGAGATATCAGATGAGACTTGTAGGAGGAGAGAGCGTAGCCCACCACCAGGCAATCAAGCAGCAAACATTTATCGAATACGTATGATAAGAACAGCCCTAAAGTTTTCGTGGGCGGAGACCTTTCTTTCTCTTTCGTTGAGTCCACAGTTGCAGCATGCAGTGCTTACCTTCCTCGCGTGGAGTTGGCATGTGCACGTAACGCAGCCTCATCCTTTGTCATCCCCTCTCCCTCCACTTCTTCCCACTGTGCCAGGTTTCGTGAAGGGTGGGAAGATGTTAACGGTTAAGGAAATAGCTATCAGAACATGAAGATGAATAATAACATCATCCCACTATTTCCACTAGCCCTAAAAATAGAGATCATTGCTGGCCTTGGAGCGGCTGAACTAACTCGCCCAGGGTCGTGTGAGCCCCAGAGGGGCTGGCCGGGCCAAGCCTGAGCGCCTCTGAGCTGCAGTCAGGAATTTGGCCTGCGCTCTGGGCTCTCCAAGGGCTTCCTATCTGGGCGAGATAAGATGGAGAGGGACCAATGGTGACATCATACCTACTGGGAGCACTGTCTGTCCCCAGCAGCCTTGGGCTCAGGAGGCTTTGCGGTGAAGGCTGGGTCAGAGGCCAGAGAGAGAGAGAGAGAGAGACAGACAGACAGACAGACAGACAGACAGACACACACACACACACACACACACACACACACACACACAGAGCCAGGCTGCACAGTCTACATTCCGATCGTTTGTGCAGGGCCAAGCGGGTCACTGTGGTGGACAAATGGATGGCACGTCCGGCGTTTCTTTCCTTCTGGCCATTTTGCTGAATTGTACTTTTTCCTCACCCACTCCATTGACCTGAAGCTGCAGAACAGTTTCTTGTTGTCAGGTGGTGCTGGAGGTGGGACCTAGGACTCGTGCCAGGTGAGTGCTCGCAGGCCAGAGCCACACCCAGGCTCCAAGGGCATTGGGTGCAGAAGGGTGCAGGCCAGTGGAGCTCCTTTTGGCAAGCCCCTCCCCGTCCCTGAGGGTTGATCTGCAGCAAGGGACAGGAGGAGGCTGCAGCAGGTGCTGGGCCTCCTGTCCTTTCCTGTCCTGTGGAGCTGCGGCAGGCTCCCTCAGGGTGAAGAAGACGAGGGTGCCACGCTGGGCCCTCAGCACACATTTCCTCCCACGGTGGGCACACCGCTCTGGGCTGAGGCAGGTCAGGACCAGGCTCCTTCCAGGTCGAGAAGTAAGACATGGGGAGAGGAGTCCCAGCTGAGGGCATGAGGGGCCTGCTGGGACTATCGTGCCCAGTCCTGTCTCAGGGCAGTGTGGCCACAGCACAAGTCAGTGAGTCACCAGCGAGTCGCTCAATTCCCAGTTTTCCCCTGGGCTGGCCACACCCACTTAGGTCACCTCACACCACCTAGTCAGCCTGGAATTCCCGAGCAAGGGGAAGTGGGCTGCTGGGCCGGGCCTCACAGGCCTGCCGACCACATGCCAGGGCCTCACTGGCTGCATATGCCTCCCCTTCCCCCCAGGAGCTGTCACAGTGCCGTGGGTATGAGGGGAGGAGGCAGTCACTGTGATCTGAGGGCCTGTGGGTCACACGCAGCAGATTTGCCTCTGACCCTCCAATTCCAAGTAAAGCGGATGCGCATGTCCCTGGGAGGTGCACCTTGACCCTGTGGACTGTACCTGTGACCATAACCCTAACGGCCTCAACCGTACCAGCGTTTCTCAATTATATCTCTAAGTAGGTAAAACAATTCATCCCTAATCTGCCACACCGGTCCAACCATGGGGCTCATGTTGGCAATTGTCTTTGGAAATGTGTCTTTCTTTCTACAGTCTACATTTGCTCAAACTCCTATGGGTAAAAGTAATATCCACATTTATTCACATATAAAACTATAGGAGTGGGTTTCCCCTGCCCACACAGCTCTAGAACCTCTTGAGAGGACAGACAGGAGGGACACTGCCTGGGAAACTGCTTCATAGGTGACACAGACAGGCCATATGTTCCATGACTGTTCCCGTGACCACGGGCTCTGCCCTCTGAAATTCCAGTTTTCTCTCTGGATCCTATAGTGCTGCTCATGGGAAGGGAAGGGACTAAGTTGGGAGAAGGGAATTGTTTGCCTCTGGGCCGCTTTTGTCTGTTTTCTGTCACTGTCACAAGATAGCAGTGACTGGGGAATTTAAAAAAGCATAAATATTTACTTGTCTCTCAGTTCTGCTGCTGAGAAGTCCGAGAGCACAGTGCTGGCTCCCACCTCGCGTCCGTAAGGGCTGCTGCTGGGTTATTTCCTGGGGATACCAGGCAGCTCCACCATGCCCGGTGCAATGGGGAGAAAAGAAATATTGGGTGTTAACAATCCTGGACTCCTTCTTCGCCCTTCTTCTCCCTAGGGGAGGAGTTTGAGGCTGAGAAGGAAATGGACAGAAATTCGAATACAGGGAAAACTGGGGAGCAGGCCTGCTCCCCTTGGATCAAACCCCCAAGGAAACACCCTCAGCTAGAAGGAAAGAAGGGAGGGAGGGAGGAACGGGAATTGGAGTTGATCTGCTGATTCATGGGCAGGTGTGACTGACAAGTATGTGTGAATCTTTGGAAAGGGCTCTTGTCACTCTGGGGAATCTTTAACTGGTGGAGTTTCCAGAAGCAGGGTGACAGAGCTGGTGGATGAGTCTTCCAAGCTAGTCCAGGCAGGGTAACAACGAACGGCCTGACACACAGTCAGCAGGTGCTGAACGTCGAGACAGAGGAAGCAGCTCCAGGAAAATGGAGATGAAAATAATATTTTTCTCAAAGCACTTTTTGGCTGAGGTGAGGAAGAAACCAGCATTAGCCACACAGCTGAACCCTGGCACAGCGGCTGAGGCAGACTTGGTTGGAGGTCTGGCCTACCACTTGCTGCTACACAGGGCCTGGCTCAGCCCACTGAGCCCCCACAGTGACAATGACAAGACCTTGCTGGTGGGAGTGTCAAGGGTGGAAATGACAAATGTCCCTAAGACCTGGGAGGCAGTGGTGCAGCCGCAGGGCTCTGAGTGGCCCCTGTGAGGGTAAGGCTGACTGGCAAAAGCCAGGAGGCCCAGAGCAGAACAAGGAAACATTTCTCTGCAGAGGTAGGCCTTGATCTTTGGGGGAGATTCCAGTGACCCAGAGGGCTGAGTAGGGTTCCAGAGAAATGACACGGCCTGCCCAAGGGAGTAAGTGGAGGTTGACCTGGAGAGAGGGCAGTCAGAAGGCGAAGGGGGAGTCTGTGGGCCTCGGGCTTGGTGATCTGAGGAGGAGTGAGTGGGAGCCAAGTCAGGAAGTCACAGCTTGAGATGCTACTCCGAGGGATGGCCTGGTTGGTAAGAAGTGAAATTCCAAGGGCTTGAGTGGAGGCTCACAGGGCAGATGCCCCAGGGTGGCCTGATGGGACAATGGGTAGAGAGGAGGCTGGGCCGGAAGCGGGCACTGGAGGCTGCCCTGGAAGCCCATGCCAGTGGCAAGGAGGGCCCAGTGGTGGGAAGGACGGTGGAGAGGGGCCCACGTTGACATCACGGGCCTCTCACCCTGTTTGGTGTCCCGCTGTTATCTTTTAATCTTAAATAGACTTTAAAGAAACAGCCCTACACATTTTGAATTAATTAGGTAGCCAGTCTTGGAAGAGACCCAACAAAAGGTTTAGCCATGAGGTAGGGCAGAGGAGAGAGGAACTGAGAGTGTTATGGGGAATCTGGGTGGATGAAACAGGAGATAAGAGGGGGGAAGGTTTGGGGAAAGAACATACTTATGAGGTGTCGGCCGTTGGGAAATCGGTCCGAGGGCTCAGACAGGAACACTGAGTTCTTTATTTGGAATTCATAATCAGCTTATTAACCTTTTCTTCAAAGGATTCCTTTAAAAGAGTGTTTTACTTCGTTTTGAGCTACATTAATTTTTAATTAAAAAATAAAATGAATAAAATCATTTATTTGATCATAACAATCACACAACAACAAGTAGGTGTCTTGGTCACTTCTCGGCACCGGGATGTGCTATTAGGCGCCCGAAACATAAAGGCCGAGAGACTGACTTTGTCTCCCAGTCTGCAGGGGTTTCAGTTCGCTTAGGGGTTGGTTGGCTCCGAGGCAAGAGAGCAGGGCAGGGGGCGCTGCGGAGGAGGGCAGCGCAGGAAGCAGACAGGAAATTTTAAAAAAGAAAGAAAGGGAGGAGCCAGAGAGGGAGCCGCCCCCTTCCGGCCACGCCCACAGGGACACCCCTCTGATCCGACCCATCTCTCCACAGTCAGGGGCGCTGGGCTCCCATCCTCGGGGCGCCTGGCACGCACGCCCGAGGCTCCTGGGGACATCTCCCTAGAAGCACAACAGGGGTGCATGGAAGCTACGGGAAGGGCCCGGAGCCGCGCCTGGAAGCCCGCCGCGACCTGGAGTGTCATCGCTCCTGCTCCTCCTCAGGATCCCCATGCTGAAGTCCTAATTCCTGGTATTCCAAAAGGGAACTCTTTGGAGGAAGGGCCTTGACAGGGATAACGAAGTTAAAACGAGGTCCCTGTGGTCCTCACCCAGTAAGACTAGTGCCCCTGTGCAAGGGGAGATGGGGACGCTGACGCACGCGGAGGAAAGGCTAGGGAGGACCGGCCCCCGCCAGCCAAGGACGTCCCCACAGCCATGGCAAATGGGCTTGTGCGCCCGCTGCCTGACGTCTTGGCCAGGAACTTCCATTCCATTCAAAGCTTTAAGAAAGCAAATTGTTTAAGCCTCTGGGCCACGTCGCCGCAGCCCTGGGGGACTCTGAACCTTGTTCCTCTGGGAGAACAAGAGGCAGAGACCCCTTTAGAGACAGTGTGGAGGTGTTCAGAGGTGCGGGGCGAAGTGGGAGGTGAGCTCACAAAGTACAGTGTGCCCCGAGGATGGAGTGTGATTGGCAGTGCCGGCCGCTGGGGTGGGGGATGCAGAAAGCTTCCAGAAAGCTGCTGGGCTGTCCCCCAGGAAGTTGCTGGTGACCTTTGAGGGAATGACGGCAGGGAGCCGCAGGGGAAATCCAGGTGCAGGGTAGAGAGGGGACGTGATCGCGTGTCTAAGGACGGTGACTCCTGACTTTCCAGAAGCTTCCCTGGAAAGGTCAGGGACAAGCCAGACAACCTCATGAGGGGAAGTGGCAGGGCGCTGGGGAATCCCTGGGGAGCAGGGCTGGGAACCCCAGAGAGGAGCCCTGTGGGCTCACGGTGTCCAGTATGCCCAGGCTATAATTCCTGAACGTTGGAGGAGGACCCGGGGCAGGCACAGAATAGTGGGGAGCAGCCCCACATGCGTCCATGCCGCCTGGCTGCAGGAAGCAGGGGGGAGGGATGCTTTTGGCCTGAATCTTGTTCAGCTCTGCTCAGCACTCCTT